AATTGTGCTATAAGAATCACAGTTAGGGTTTAAGCATTCAGAAAAAACTGTAATGTTTTCTTGACATTAATTTGAAGGTGGCTCATGAAATAATAAATTTTTAATTGTTGTTGCAGTCAATGTTATTGCTAAAACCTTTTAGGAGACATTGGTCTGTTCAGCAACATGAGTCATCTATATTTATTGTAGCAAATTGATTAATATTTGTTTTTACCCCGGTCATTGTCATTGTCCATTAGCTTTCCCAGAGAGCATCCAGGTATTGACTTTTCTGACTGTGATTTCATTATTAGGGGACAGCAGGGGTTTTTTTTTCTTTACACTGAAATTTGCCTTGTTTACTGCATTGTATGAACGTTTCTTGTATGTCAGAGAAGACTTGTGTTACATATGCCTCATTAGTCGTTTTTACTGCATTAATGTGACACAAAGTGGAGATTTATCAAAGAGTTTTTTATTTAGTGCAGCCATGAACTGAGTAATTACAACTATGCCTCCTTATCCTGAAGGTCAGACACTTATGTGTCCTTTCTCAAGACTTCACTCTTGATAACATAAAGTAATGCAAAAAGTGATGTTTTTAACGAACACCTTTTATTATGTGTAATGCACAAACACACCAACAGAGGGCAGTAATATCCCTTCAACATACATTGTAAAATTACTATTACAACAAAAAGAACATGTTCAGGCAAGAGGAAGGACAAACAAGTGCTCAGCTATAATCGTTAGAAGTGGCAGACTAGTTGTCACCCCACACCATGTTTCCTGTCTTAATGCTAGACTGATTGCTCACTATAGCTTACACCTATTTACCTGCCTGTTAAAACCACTATCTAATGAGCCAATCACATGGCAGCAACTCAGTGCATTTAGGTACATAGACATAAGTGATGGGTCGCGAAGAAATGGCTCTTAGAGCCGGCTTGTTGAAGTGAACGTTGCGAGCCAACTCCTTATTGGGAGCCGTGGGATTTTTTCTTTGTCTCTTTTTTTTGCAGGTCAGCCTTTTGTTTGCGCTGAGCAGAGATGGGAGGAAACAAACAGACCCTTGCCTTTACGCCCCGCCTCCTCTGCTCAGCCGGTAGTTACACTTGCACACGAAAAGAGCAGGAGGGAAAGAAAGAGAAAGAGAGCCGGGTTATCTGACAAACCATCCTACTTTGGCAAAATGTCCTACCGTAAGTAGTTAATGCACATTTCTGCTGTCACAGAGTAATACCAGCACAAATTTAAGTAGGTATGATGGTTTGCCACTTAAATTCGCCCATCTGAGTAGGCTTGTAGCTCATAAAGCCAGGACGGTTTGCCACTTAATTTTACCCGTTAAAGTGTTTTTCTAGCTCTTATTAATAAAGGTATGATGATTTTCCACTTAATTTTAGCTGTTAAAGTATGCTTCTAGCTCATTTTCACAAAGTTAGGACTGTTCACCACTTAATTTCGTGTTGTGCGCATGCGCAGAAACAACGGGTAGGATGGTTTGTCAGGTAGGATGGATTCCCAGAACACCGGGAGCAACAACAAGTGACAACATCGTCACATTAAAAAGGTATGGTAAAGAAAATGAGTGACACCAAGAAAAGAAGCAAAATCTGGAACCATTTTAATTTTATTGACAATACAAAGGCAGAGTGTAGAGTCTGTAAGAAAAGACTATCATATAGAGCCGGCTCCACACACAAAATGCACAAGCACCTGAGAACTGTCCACCCATCACTGCAATGGGAAGATAGAACACAGTGAGTTGAGTTTGATATTAATATTTCTAAATAATGCCAACCTATATCTATATATATATATTAGGGGTGCAAC